GAGAGGAATAAAATAGAGTAGTAAAAAGCTGTAGAGAGATAGCGAGGGATTGAGAGGCTACTACTATTTGTATTGCAGTTGATGCTTGCACAATGCTATTGCTTATGATACTGGGGTATTCATCTTTGGGATAAAAACAATCATTTCCCCCCTTCCATATTGTAGTCATGACTTAGTTTTACTAACCAACCTCTCTTTATAATTATTTTTGGATTGTATATAGCTTTTTTTGAAGTTGTAAAGAATAGTTTTGACCTTTGTGGGTAGTCAAGCAAATTCTGGTTATTGGTTGAAAGCCCCTTGTCATCATAGTTTACTCAAAGGCAGCTTCAGATTGATTCCCGTGCCTAGGAAGTCATCCTTGGAAGCAATAGTTCTAATTTTTATAAAGAACCATGTTATAATTGTTTGTTTTTGTATAACCAAAAATATATTTCAAACATATGTTGTGATTAGAATTATGACAACATCGTTGTTCATCACTATTATTTTTGGACTTGAATTGATCTATGTCTAAATTACACATAATGTGTATGAGCAAATCTTCTATATCTAAATAGCTAGCCCCCACTAACTATTTCTCTCAACATGCAAGTATGCCACATCATCACACAACATGCATGAGAAAAAGTCCACCCCCACTATCATATGTCTTTTAACATGCAAGCATGTCACTTGATCGTGAAATATGCATGAAAAAAGACACATCTCAACATGCAAATGGACATGAGAATTTTCATTCTATTATGCTATTTATACATTTTACATTTATATAGTAATCAAACATAATAAATTATATGTATTTTTAGTTTTAGCCTTTTATATTATTGCTTCAAATATTCACGTTTCGTACAATGAATCACATTGAAATGTGTTGCATAATATTCCCGCAACAACCGTGCGGGGTATCCTCTATTATTATAGTTTGACTTTCACGTCTTTCTTGGATCCGTGGCGAAGCATGGTCACCTTTAGTACTATGTTGCCTTCTGCATGTATTTCTCATAGCCTTATTAAAGATCTCCGGTCGTATGGTTTTAAACACAAGATGATATTTTTGTAGCACATTTCGTATAAGTTCTACTCTATAATTTTTAAATTCAAAAAACATTTTTAGTTGGGAGAAGGAAAGAAGAACGAAAAGGATAGCGCTTTAACGGTAAAAAAGAAGTCACCAGTGCAGCCCGTGGCAACGCACGGCCGTCCTACTAGTATCCTACTAGTGCTCCCATTTTTGCGTCTCCTCCAAGGTCAAGAAAAATGAAGCAAAATTCTCTACTTGTTCTATAAAAAAAATCACGTACACTCTCTGTTGTCAAAGAACATATACTCCATACATGGGGGCGTGGTGGATCCCAGCACTTGCCGGCGAGAGGGCTCCGTGTTTAGATATTTCTTTCCTGCTCAGGAAGGCGAAACGGCGGCGGGTCTCTGAAGATGAATAAGGTTCTTCGTGCCTAGCCCCCGTTCCGGTGATGCGTCTAGCATCGTTGTTCGTGTGTCTTCAAATTGAATCATTTCGATCTACGCTACTCTTCATCGGCGGCGGTTGTTATTCTGGTGCGCTGGTTCTATGGGATTTTACTACGACAATTTTTGACTGTCTACTAATAATTCTTGTGTCACTGGACCGAGGTTAGCACATGCTCACTTTCTATGGTGTGTTGCTGTGATCACTGACCTGGTAAGTGTACTCCATGAGAGCTTATATAGTGTCAAACTGACCATTTTCCTCTTTCTGAATTGATTATGCAAGCCATGGCATCATAGACTACCAGCTCCTTTTTTTTGGCGAGATCATAGACTACCAGTATCATGTCGACTAGTCTAGACTAGTCTATAAGTCTCAACCTTGGAACGACTCGTCGACTCTTCGACTCGTAAACGTTGATATAGTGTCAAACTGACCATTTTTCTCTTTCTGAATTGATTATGCAAGCCATGGCATCATAGACTACCAGCTTTTTTTTTTTTGCGAGATCATAGACTACCTGCTATTTATCTTTTTTGAGTTTGTCATCAAGGCTTGATCATGTTGATACAGGGTACCTCCACCTCCACATGGGGTGGTTGATGGGCCAGGAGCGACATCTGTAGCTACGGCGTGCTGCTCTGCGGTTGTGGAGGTGTTCCCTGTGGCCATGTACATCCAGGAGGTGCCAACCAGTTCCACTGATCCACATGCAAGTTTGCCTTGTTTTCCTTTCGGTTAGCTTCAACTTCAAGAATGAGAAAATTCGCCGAGAAAAGTCGGCCGCGCCCCTAGTTTTTCTAATGGATCATGTCTTGAGAGCCCAACATTTGTCAGCCAATGCATAGTTAAAATGTTCACATGAATTCCGTAACGATGCTTACGGAAGATCAATACAAACATTGTAAGACCGACTTAAAAAAAAATCGATGCAAACAATACCCATGGTTACATAAGCCAGCCCAGAACCTATTCTATCTTTCCTTTTCAATTTCTGGAAGAAACTGTTTCAGAATTGATTGCTCGCTGCACAAGAAACAACCAGCAGATCGCCACTTTTACTTACTAGTACAACTGAATCTGCAGCAAGTAGTGACCAGTTTAATAAAGATAAAATGTATACGGGGTTACTATATATTACTCAAAACAGAACATCTGATCTACAATTTTTCACTTCACCTAGATGTGCTCCCAGATCGCAGCCTTGTCCAGCAAACAACTGGAGTCATAAACCGATTTTGATGGATCTGATTTTGGTGGGGTGGAGCAGTCCCAATCAGGACCTTCTCTAATTAATCAAATCCAACAGATTAAGAAGAGATTGTTTGAAGACATAAGATCACGAACGAAACAAGACACATGGAGAACAGGCGAGTTTGTCGGTGTGTGTCATCCATCTTTTCTTGCAGTTGTAAGCAGCCTGGCGCAAAATAAGTCCCATATGCAATCCAATGATAGTATGTGATCAGAAACCAACTAGTCCAGTATAGCAAAAAGAAGCTTTGTATTTCTTTAGAATCAACATTTACTTCAACTCATTACTGATGTGGATGTGGTCCAGGATGTGGTCCAGTCTATAAATCTCACATTCTTATCAATAGCAATAGGCGCAGGCCAAGGAAGAGGTCTCCTTTCCCGCAAAAAGGAGAAAGAATGAAGATTTCTTCTCCCTGATGTGGTCCATGAGTACAATGTAGTACATTACTGAGCGTCAAGATGAAATGAAACATACAAGTTAACGGAACAACAGGACACTTACACGTGCTAGCCAGAATTAACACGATGTGCATACATATATACATACATACATGGTTCCATCCAGTCCACCAAATAAGAGGAACAAAGCAACTTAATCACTGCTGCTGCTGCTAGGCACTCCATCAATTACCGGGCTTGGCACTGCCTTATATGAGATGGATCAAGTCAAGAACAATCCAAATGGAGTCAATTGGTCCTGTACCCAGCAGATTAAGCCCTGCAATGATGATAACAGTGTGTGGTCAGAAACCAACCACTCTAGTTAATCAGACGCAACGAAAATATATAATTTCAGATACTCAACAGGATACATTCATATATTATACTGACGAAAATTCGTTTGGGCCTTCAAACTTATCTAATCAAGTTAATCAACCATGTAATTGCTGCTCAAGGACAAACTTCTCTGATCAAGTTAAGCAACCATGTAAACAGTGTCAATCTGGATGCTATGGACACAAAAAATGACAGTAAGCCAAGGGACTAAATCCTCTTCAAATTATATCCAAGCCACTGCGAGTATCTATCCCAGCACCACCGGAGGTACCATACCAGTACTCTTTATGCAGGTGTGAAGCTATACTATAATGTCTAGTAAGTGGAATGACACAAACTGCTAGTAGATTGGAGCTTATCATTGTGTATAAGCGGAATGGCCAACTAGTAGATGCACGAGGACATGCAAAATAGGAATCCATCATCAACACATAAAGTCATAAACTGCTGCCATGCATAGGACACAAGGTATTATATCATTAGTGGTGGTGAGCACCATTTTTTTTTAAATAAAAACTGAACCGTGAGTCTCACACTACCACAACCCCAATGAGCATTCATCAGACATGGGGCGCACAACAAAGCACAACAGCATTCAGAAATAGACAGTTGTAAAGTGTTATTGTTGATCATGACAGGTGGTGCTTGCTGCTACTAATGCCGCGATATATACCCAGTCTTTACACAATCTAATCTAATCTAATTACAAAGGTACTTCCTCTGTAAACTAATATAAGAGCGTTTAGATCACTATTTTAGTATTCTAAACGCTCTTATATTAGTTTACAGAGGGTACTAGTTAGTGGCATACACCGGGAATGACATGAGAACAAGGACCTCGCAGAAGCAAAGGGCACCGATGGATAAAATTAAGAACTAGAAAACTCAAATAGATGTAGCAAGACATAAATAACTAAACTAGAACTATATCCAAATCCAGGTTACAAGAGCATATTAGGGATAGGATGACGCTGCTTTGATGATTTCTTGTATTTATTTGTATGTCCGTCTCAAGATGTGAAAGAAGTATTTCTTGCTTTTCTGAGTTTCATATCTGAAGGGGAGCCTTGGCGCAGTGGTAAAGCTGCTGCCTTGTGACCATGAGGTCACGGGTTCAAGTCCTGGAAACAGCCTCTTACAGAAATGTAGGGAAAGGCTGCGTACAATAGACCCAAAGTGGTCGGACCCTGCGCAAGCGGGAGCTACATGCACTGGGGCTGCCCTTTTTTTTTCTGAGTTTCATATCTTTCTATTTGCATATTTTTACTATAAATTAACCATGAGAATATCATATAAATGCCAAAAGGTGACCGAGGATTACAATGGACAGGACATAACCTGGACAGCCCCTCTGTAGTCAGGACTGTTTGCTAAGATTAGCAGAATGACAGGCACAGTACCACCAAACTAACTAATACTTGCATCATATAGCAATGTCAACCCTCTATACTGCATATGAACAATAGAGGCAAAAACCAGGAGCAAGCTTACTGTTTCAAATAGTTGGTGGAGTCAAGTATCGCGGGAAGCCCGAATACAGTTGGCCCAGCAATGGCAGTATATCTCTATTCCGAGAGAAGCGCTCAAGATCCATAGTGCGAAGATTCAGTGAAAAGCAGCCCGGGTCCGGCACTTTACCCGGAGGGAACGAATCCGGGTTGTCTGTAACCAGATATAGGAGCAGGTACCCCCCAGCTACACCAATGATCTGATAGCAGTAATCATGGGACAATGTGACCACCTTTTTCTTTTCCCACCGCCCTGGGTCATCCCCGGTGCGAACCAAAATGGAATACCGGAGGCGAGGCACGAGGTGTGTGGGAACTTGGCTGAGAGCGAACATCCCAAGCCTCCCTTCGGTTGCTTCCACAAAGGCCACCTGGTGATTCATGAGATCAGGCGGAAGGTGGACGGAGGAGAACTCGGTGGTAGCTGTGTCGAGCAAGAGCAACTTGTTGATCGCACATATCGGCCAACAGAAGCACCCGTGCGCGTAGTAGCGCTTTCCGAACGCAACAGAGGATCGCACATGGATACTGACTCCTGCGAGGAGAGCGGCCCAGCCATCAAATGTGACGGTGCGCCATTGTCCGGCATGGGGGGCGGATGAAGAGTAGACGTAGAGGACCAAGCGGGTGTGGTACTGGGCCAAGCACATGACTTTGAATCTCAAGGGAGCGCCCGCAGCAGTGTCAGCGCCCTCGTCTGCGCTGGCAGGAGCAAGGAAAGGATCCAAGTGATGGACCAGATCGGGCAGGCCCTGGGGGACAGGAGGTAGCAGCAGGTAGCGCCGGTGCAGCGGGTCGCAGACGGCGACGTCCCTCACCATGGCACCGCCGTCGGTGTCGATGCAGAGGAGGGCGCGGCCGTCGCGGAAGTCGCAGCGACGCCACCGCTGCTCGCGGGAGGGGAGGAAGGAGCAGGAGAAGTCGGTGCCTGCGAGTGTTCCGGCGGCGGCGGCGGAGGGGTGGGGCGGCTGGGCTGGGAAGAAGGGATCCGAGAGTATACCCAGCAGAGGCGGCGGGTGGAGGGTGCGGAAGCGACGGAGGAAGGTGTGGTTGGCGATGATGCGGCGGAGGGCGGGGCCGGCCATGGACGCGCGGGCGAGGTCGGCGGCCGTGGGGAGGCGGAGGAGGATCTCCTCCGTGACGTGGCCCGGGAGGGTCGCCTGCGCCTCCAAGGCCGGCAAGGCGCCGGGGATGCAGGGCAGCGCCGCCGGGGCGTCGGGGCAGGGCGGCGGCGGAGGGGCATCGGGGAAGGGCGGCTCCGGCGACGCCATGGGGGTGGAGTGGAACGGAGGAGGGGATTGATTTTCCTTTGGGGGTTTGGTATTTCCGTTTCTTCAGGTGGAAAACGTATACCTGCCTACTCGTGCTCCCACTTTGACGCAGACCTGGCCAAACGGGCCGGCCCGGCCCGGCCCGGCACGGCCTGTGCTAATCGTGGCTGGCCCGCCATGGCACGTTTAATAGCCGGGTCGTGTCGTGCCGGCCCACGGGCGCTGCTCTTTGGCCCAAGCACGGCCTGATTAGTAAACGGGTCGATCTGATGGCCCGTTTAGCACGCTGGGCTGCACATTTTCAACCTGTTGGGCTGGTTTTTGGTCTATTAGGCTATATTTTAGGTATACATATGTAATTTTTCTGAAAATTATATAAAAAATTAAGCGGGCCGTGCCGTGCCAGCCCGCGTGCCCAGGCTCCAGGCCCAGGCATGGCCCAAGGCGTGCCACATGCCGGGCACTGCCCATTTAGCCCGTGTCGTGCCGGCGTGCTCCAAACCTGTTTGGCCCGTCCCGTTTGGCCAACTATACTTTGATGTCCAAAACGTATACTTCATATGTACGTGTCACTAATACTTTCTCCGTTTCTTTTTAGTCTGCATATAAAATTTGGTCAAAGTCAAACTTTCTTAACTTTGACTAAGTTTATAGAATAAAATATTAAGATTCATAATATGAAATCAATATTGTTAAATGCATTATGAAACGTGGGGTTTCAGGGGATTTGAGAGATTTGGGGGGGGGGGGGGATTGCAGGGGTTTTGGTGAATCCCTTCCTTTCACCCAATCCTCTCAAATTCCCCCAAGCCCCAAACCCCTCACCTATTTGGTACACAGGGATTGATACACAAGGTTTGCAAAACCACTATATTACAATTAAAATGCAATTTTTACAATTTCAAAAGCTCATGGAGGAAAAGTGCAACTAGATTACACAAAACAACAAACATGCTCTGTTACAAGTACTATTATCAATGGTTCTAATAAAAATGGTACATGCAAACATTCCACGGTCCAAATGAAAAACATGACACATGCTACATGCCACGGTCCAAATGAAAAATACAAGATGTTCGGTCAACGAAAGTCAACAGCTCATCACAACATAAACACACGTTTGATCGATGATACGTCTATTTTGTATCATGCTTTTATATCTATATTTATTACATTATGGGCTGTTATTACACATTATGTCACAATACTTAAGTCTATTCTCTCTTATTTTACAAGGTTTACATGAAGAGGGAGAATGCCGGCAGCTGAGATTCTTGGCTGAAAATGAGCAAATATTAGAGACCTATTCTGCACAGCTCCAAAAGTCCTGAAACTTCACGGAAGTTATATCCAGAATATATAAAAAAATAATGAGCGAAGAAAGTTCCAGAGGGGGCCCAAACCCTGGCCACGAGGGTGGGGGGCGCCCCCCTGCCTCGTGGGCTCCCTGGTGGCCCTCCGATGCCCATCTTCTGGTATATGAGGTCTTTCGTCTGAGAAAAAAATTTAAGCAAGCTTTGGGGAAGAAACTCCACCGCCACGAGGCAGAACCTTGGCGAAACCAATCTAGGGCTTCGGCAGAGCTGTTCTGCCGGGGAAACTTCCCTCCGGGAGGGGGAAATCATCACCATCATCATCACCAACGATCCTCTCATCGGGAGGGGTCAATCTCCATCAACATCTTCACCAACACCATCTCATCTCAAACCCTAGTTCATCCCTTATATCCAATCTTTGTATCCAAACCTCAGATTGGTACCTGTGGGTTGCTAGTAGTATTGATTACTCCTTGTAGTTGATGCTAGTTGGTTTACTTGGTGGAAGATCATATGTTCAGATCCATTATGCATATTAATACCCCTCTGATTATGAGCATGAATATGCTTTGTGAGTAGTTACGTTTGTTACTGAGGATATGGGAGAAGTCTTGCTATAAGTGGTCATGTGAATTTGGTATTTATTTGATATTTTGATGAGATGTATGTTGTCATCCCTCTGGTGGTGTCATGTGAACGTCGACTACATGACACTTCACCATTGTTTGGGCCTAGTGGGAGGCATTGGAAAGTAATAAGTAGATGATGGGTTGCTAGAGTGACAGAAGCTTAAACCCTAGTTTATGAGTTGCTTCGTAAGGGGTTGATTTGGATCCATATGTTTCATGCTATGATTAGGTTTACCTTAATACTTATGGTGTAGTTGCGGATGCTTGCAATAGGGGTTAATCATAAGTGGGATGCTTGTCCAAGTAAAGGCAGTACCGAAGCACCGGTACACCCATATATCAAATTATCAAAGTACCGAACGCGAATCATATGAACATGATGAAAACTAGCTTGACGATAATTTCCATGTGTCCTCGGGAGCGCTTTCCTTCATATAAGAGTTTGTCCAGGCTTGTCCTTTGCTACAAAAAGGATTGGGCCATTTTACCGCACCTTATTTACTTTTATTACTTGTTATTCATTACAAATTATCTTATCACAAAACTATCTGTTACCGACAATTTCAGTGCTTGCAGAGAATACCTTACTGAAAATCGCTTATCATTTCCTTCTGCTCCTCGTTGGGTTCGACACTCTTACTTATCGAAAGGACTACGATAGATCCCCTATACTTGTGGGTCATCAAGACTCTTTTCTGGCGCCGTTGCCGGGGAGTGAAGCGCCTTTGGTAGGTGGAATTTGGTAAGGAAAAAAATTATATAGTGTGCTGAAATTTACTGTCACTTGTTACTATGGAACATAATCCTTTGAGGGGTTTGTTCGGGGTATCTTCACCTCGTCCGGAACCACAATTAGCTACCCCTCAACCTACTGAACCTACTGAAAATGTTACTTTGGAATTCCTTCGGGTATGATAGAGAAACTGCTAGCTAATCCTTTTACAGGAGATGGAACATTGCATCCCGATTTACACTTAATCTATGTGGATAAAGTTTGTGGATTATTTAAGCTTGCAGGTATCCCGATGTTATCAAGAAGAAGGTATTCCCTTTATGTTTGAAGGGAGATGCATTGACATGGTATAGGCTATGTGATGATATGGAATCATGGGACTATAAGCGATTGAAATTGGAATTTCACCAGAAGTTTTATCCTATGCATCTTGTTCATCGTGATCGTAATTATATATATAATTTTTGGCCTCGCGAAGGAGAAAGCATCGCTCAAGCTTGGGAGAGGCTTAAGTCAATGTTATATTCATGTCCCAATCATGAGCTCTCAAGAGAAATGATTATTCAAAAAATTCATGGTCGGCTTTCTCTCAGTAATCGCTTCATGCTCGATACTTCTTGTACTGGCTCTTTTATGATGAAGACTATTGAATTCAAATGGGATTTATTGGAAAGAATTAAACGCAACTTTGAAGACTGGGATCTCGACGAAGGTAATGAGTCTGGTATAACACCGAAGTTTGATTGTGTTAAATCTTTTATGGATACCGATGCTTTCCGTGAATTTAGCACTAAATATGGACTTGACTCTGAGATAGTAGCTTCTTGCTGTGAATCATTTGCTACTCATGTTGATCTCCCTAAGGAGAAGTGGTTTAAATATAATCCTCCCATTGAAGTAAAAGTAGTTGCACCTATTAAAGTTAAAGAAAAGACTGCCACTTATAATGATCCTATTGTTCCTACTGCTTATGTTGAGAAACCACCTTTCCCTGTTAGAATAAAGGATCATGCTAAAGCTTCAACTGTAGTCAACAAAAGTAATATTATGACACACAAATCCCCTGAGCAAGTTAAAGTTGAACCTAATATTGCTATGGTTAAAGATCTCTTGGCTGATAATATTAATGGGCATGTTATTTATTTCTGTGATGATACTGCTAGAATTGCTAGACCTGATACTAAAAATAAACATATACCTGTTGTAGGCATGCCTGTTATTTCTGTTAAAATAGGAGATCTTGCTATCATGGCTTATGTGATATGGGTGCTAGTGCAAGTGCAATACCCCATTCCTTATACAAATAAATTATGCATGATATTGCACCTGCTGAGATAGAAGATATTGATGTTACCATTAAGCTTGCCAATAGAGATACTATTTCACCAATTCGGATTGTTAGAGATGTTGAAGTCTTGTGTGGGAAGGTTAAATATCCTGCTGATTTTCTTGTTCTTGGTTCCCCATGATACGTCCATTTTGCATCATGCTTTTATATCGATATTTATTGCATTATGGGCTGTTATTACACATTATGTCACAATACTTATGCCTATTCTCTCTTATTTTACAAGGTTTACATGAAGAGGGATAATGCCGGCAGCTGGGATTCTGGGCTGGAAAAGGAGCAAATATTAGAGACCTATTCTGCACGGCTCCAAAAGTCCCGAAACTTCACGGAAGTTATTTCCAGAATATATAAAAAATACTGAGTGCAAGAAGTACCAGAGGGGGGCCACCCACCAGCCACCAGGGTGGGGGGCGCGCCCCCTTGCCTCGTGGGCCCCATGGTGGCCCTCCGATGCCCATCTTCTGCTATATTATGTCTTTCATCCGAGAAAAAATTATAAGCAAGCTTACGGGACGAAACTCTGCCGCCACGAGGCGGAACCTTGGCGGAACCAATCTAGGACTTCGGCAGAGCTGTTCTGGCGAGGAAACCTTCCTCCGGGAGGGGGAAATCATCACCATCATCATCACCAACGATCCTCTCATTGGGAGGGGGTCAATCTCCATCAACATCTTCACCAGCACCATCTCATCTCAAACCCTAGTTCATCTCTTGTATCCAATCTCTGTATCCAAACCTCAGATTGGTACCTGTGGGTTGCTAGTAGTGTTGATTACTCCTTGTAGTTGATGCTAGTTGGTTTACTTGGTGTAAGATCATATGTTCAGATCCATTATGCATATTAATACCCCTCCGATTATGAACATGAATATGCTTTGTGAGTAGTTACGTTTGTTCCTGAGGACATGGGAGAAGTCTTGCTATTAGTAGTCATGTGAATTTGGTATTCGTTTGATATTTTGATGAGATGT